GCTGTAAGTGCTTAGGGCAAGAAATAGAAGGGAAGAAGAAAAAAAAATTGAAGTTGGATTTGCTAGAGTGGTAGGATCCTGAACAGATTAAAAAAAAAGAAAGAAACCCTGACTTCTTATTCTGTTGTTATGCGTTAAAAATAATATTAAAATGGCCCTGTATTAGTTTTCTATTGTTGCTATAACTAATTACCACAGTGGTTTAAAGCAACATTCATTTATCATCTTAGTAATAAATTCTGCATTTCTGGAGGTCAGAAGTCCAAAATGGGCATCACAGGGCTAAAATTAAGGTATAGGTAGGGGTGTGTTTCTTTCAGGAGTCCTAGGGGGAAAATCCCTTTCTAGTGTCTAGGGGCTGCCAGCATCTCTTGGCTTGTTGCTCTCCTTCCTCCATCTTAAAAGCCAATACCTTAGCATCCTCAAAGTCTTTGCACCCTCACTTCGCCTTCACTGATGCTTGTATGGATCTGTGTGCTTACACTGCATCCACCCAGGTAAATAGACTCTTCCTGTCTCAGAATCCTTACTTAACCACATCTGAGGAGTCCCTTTTGCCAGTTAAGGTGACACAGTCACAGGTCCTGGCAATTAGGATGTGAAAATCTTTGAGGACCCCCATCCTCAATCAGAGGATTTCCCTGAAATGCAAGTTCAGTGAGAACAGCTTTCCATATGCTTGAGTGAAGGCACAACACTGACTGCTGAGTGCAAAAGGACACAGTGTAGGATTCCATTTAAGTTAATTTTCAGAACAGGCAACACTAGCCTATGGTGGAAAAGAATTACAATTATTGCCTCTAAGTGTCGGGTGGGGTTGACTGGGAAAGCCCATGATGGAATTTTCTGGTATGGTGATGTTCTTTATCCTGGCGGGGGCACAAAAGTGTACACAAACACTACTCTCTAGTCCAGGCGTCCCCAGACTTTTTACACAGGGGGCCAGTTCACTGTCCCTCAGATGGTTGGAGGGCCGCCACATCTTGTGCTCCTCTCACTGACCACCAATGAAAGAGGTGCCCTTTCCTGAAGTGCGGCGGGGGGATGATGGATAAATGGCCTCAGGGGGCCGCATGCGGCCCGCAGGCCGTAGTTTGGGGACGCCTGCTCTAGTCAATGATATCTACGGGGGGAATTGTGATGTCTGCCATTTACTCTGAAGAGACTTGATGGACAGATAGATTGATATATAGGTACAGTAACATGTTTATGATAGAATCTAGGTGGTAGATATACAGGTGTTCATTTTAATAATCTTTGAAAACTTTTATTAAAAAATTTTGGGGACACTAAGATATGGCCCTGGAATATGACTCTGGCAGTCTAGATTATAAATTAACAAAAAGAACTTAGGAAGCTAGTAAGGAAGCTCTTGAATAATTTCCTATTTAAAATCAGTGGTTCTCAACTAGGGCAATTTTGGAAGGTGTCCGGAAAGGTGTGAGAGCATTCTCTGTAACTCTCAGTAGGGCAGGGTGTTACTGGCACACAGGGTAGGGTCCAGGGAAGCTACTGCAACCAGGCAGCCTCTCCACAGGACTAAGTCTTCCTACACTAGATGTTACTGAGGAATACCAATCTAAAATCGAAATCTTCCCTTTGAATCTCTTCATGAATTTACTTGCAGTTGCTTGTAGCACATCTCCAAATGGACTGTGACTCACTTCTCAAAAGTCCGTTGCATCTCCCACTTCTCTGTAACCCAAGAACACCCGGCATAGTGCTCTACTTGGAACACACATTTTTTTTTTTTTTTTTTTTTTTTTTTTGAGACGGAGTTTCGCTCTTGTTACCCAGGCTGGAGTGCAATGGCGCGCTCTCGGCTCACCGCAACCTCCGCCTCCTGAATTCAGGCAATTCTCCTGCCTCAGCCTCCTGAGTATCTGGGATTACAGGCACACACCACCATGCCCAGCTAATTTTTTGTATTTTTTTTTTTTTTTTTTTTTTTTTTTTTGGGACGGAGTTTCGCTCTTGTTACCCAGGCTGGAGTGCAATGGCGCGATCTCGGCTCACCGCAACCTCCGCCTCCTGGGTTCAGGCAATTCTCCTGTCTCAGCCTCCTGAGTAGTTGGGATTACAGGCATGCGCCACCATGCCCAGCTAATTTTTTGTATTTTTAGTAGAGACGGGGTTTCACCATTTTGATCAGGATGGTCTCGATCTTTTGACCTCGTGATCCACCCGCCTCGGCCTCCCAAAGTGCTGGGATTACAGGCGTGAGCCACCGCGCCCGGCCTATTTTTTGTATTTTTAGCAGAGATGGGGTTTCACCGTGTTGACCAGGATGGTCTCGATCTTTTGACCTCGTGATCCACCCATCTCGGCCTCCCAAAGTGCTGGGATTACAGGCTTGAGCCACCGCGCCCGGCCGGAACACACATTTAATAAATATTTGATAATGGGAAGGGGATGTTCCCTGACTATCCCGGCCTGCCCTTCAGGCAGTTCCTTTGATGCAAACCTACTGCCCCCTACATTCCTCCTCCTCACTCCCAACCCCCTTACCCCTTAATGGCCAATGCAAAGGATGTTCACTGCTGCATTTTTCTGCCAAGACACAATCTTGAAACTACATCCCCACTGCCACCCTCCTTCACCCCGCCCAACCCCATCCTTCTGCACCAGATGGCAGGGGAGTCACTTGAAAGTTACCACCATGACACAGAGCTGAGAAAAGCCGGCATAAAGCACTTTTATTGCAATAATAAAACTTGAAACTCATATATGGTGCTGGGGGGAGGGGGCAGCAATGATTTCTCTCACCAAATCACTACACAGGACAGCAAAGGGGTGAGAAGGGGCTGAGGGAGGAAAAGCCAGGAAACTTTGAGATCAGCAGAGGGAGCCAAGCATCAAAAAACAGGAGATGCTGAAGCTGCGATGACCAGCATCATTTTCTTAAGAGAACATTCAAGGATTTGTCATGATGGCTGGGCTTTCATTGGGTGTTAAGTCTACAAACAGCACCTTCAGTTTAAACTGTCAATTAAAGTTCTCAAGATTTAGGAAGTGGTGGAGCTTGGAAAGTTATGAGATTACAAAATTCCTGAAAGTCCATTAGAAAAACCACAGGATGGGGAAAAAAAAAATAATAAGCCAGGCCACAAAGAAGGCTTCAGAGGTCCCTGCTGGCTCAGGGACAGATAGATACCTGTAGTGTCCAACATCGCAGTGAAAATGACCTGCTTTCAAAGGCAGAGGGTTTAAGGAGAGGGTGGGGTGGGACTGGTTGAGGCAAAGGCTCTCCCCATCCCCACCTGTTTTAGGTAGGGCTTTTATTTTAACCCAAGGACATCAGCCCTCAATAGCGCCTCAAATCTGCTATGGCTTTGCAGCGCAGCAGCAAGAATGCTTAATATATAATAGATAAAAATTTTATCCAAAAAATTAAAATAAAATATTCTTGCAACCCCCCCCAAACACCAATTCCTATTCTAAAGTTAACCTATCACTTGTGCTGTTAATACTTGATCATGTACTAAATTGGAAACCTAGATCCAAAAGACTGAAACTGAATCTTCACCCCAAAATGAAAACAAAATAAAATGAATAACTTGAGGTTTATGGCATATAGTTTAGGTAAACACACATACGAGGATAAAGGGGAAGAGGAAATGGAGGTGTCCGAAGCAAAGCTGAGTGACAGAACACATTCAGTCAGGGCAGATGTCTATACAGAGTATAGTGGAACATCAGGAAAAGCTCCATATGGATTCATGTGCACGCATCTGGAGGCACCAGGATCCCTCCATGGCAGACCTGTTGGGGACAGAAAATCTGTGAGTTTCCAGCAGCTCAGTGTTCTTTGTCTGCAGTGGTGACAGCCACGATGCCATCTGCCACGCCAAATCCCTTCCTCAACAGCTGAGCAGTCTGAGACCAAGCCACTTCTATTCTAGCTGGAGACAGCCAGATAGGCTTGGGCTGGGTCCCAGGTGAAACAACCTTTATGTTCTCTTTGCTACCTACCAAAACACTGGGCATATCATGGGAGGCACGAAGGTAGTGAAGGACCCTTCAGCATTTGATCTTCTTACCCAAGAACAGGGAGCTAAGGGAGGAGGCCATTCCTGTCATTCCAGTTTTAGAAGCTCCACATCGAAGACAAGAGTGGCATGTGGTGGGATGATGCCTGGGTGCCCAGTGGCACCGTAAGCATAATCTGGAGATATAGTCAGTTTGGCTCTCTGACCCACACTCATCTGTGAAAAGAACAAGGAAGAAAGATTCAGCTTGACACACACCCCAGCTGTCTCTGTAAGAACAAGAGCTGTTTACCTAGGTGCTCCTTGGCCAGGATGGTATTGACTTTGCAGCTGCCCAGGCATCACCACCTCCCTGGGCAGGACTTGAAGGTTGGCAGTCAGATTCCATGACCCCTGCATCTCACTCCAAGAGGCCCAGTGGCAGTTCAAAACCCTTCTTGACTCTCAGAAGGGTCATGCCCTCAGCCTTTCTACCCAAGACTTAATGACTAATGCCGGGCAGGTACCATTCCAGATGTCTTACCACCTAGTCCCCCTTCGGTGGTCTGTCACGCAAAGGACACATTTAGTGACATCTGTGCTCCTCTTGAAAAAGGAATACTCTGAAACTATGCTTTAAAAAAGTATATACATAGAAAGTAATACCTGGGGGTAGTCTATTTTTTCTGTATTTTTTCTACTTATACTTTTTTACCCATATAGGAAAACTTCAAAAAAGATAATATGATTTTCTGGGCTACACAATAGCATGTACTATATGATACTATTTTTGAAAATATTGATTATACCTACAAGAGAAAACATCTTTGGAAGGACATACCAGATTTTTGCTATGAGAACAATGTGGATAGTGAGTGACCAGTAAGGAGAGATTTTTACTTTAAAAAATGTATTTGTGTATTATTTTATTTCAAACTAAATACAGAAATAAGTAGAAATATCTACTTTCTGAACAGCGAGCAGGTTCTCTGCAGTATTTCCATCCTTTGACCTATCTCTGCTTTGCTTTAGGTCTCCCACGTTCCTGGCTTTCGGATTCCACTGGAGAGAGGATGAATAAAGAGGAAGCTGCAGCCTGTGAAGCATCTAATCCCTGCTCCCCTCTGAAACTGGGACATGTTGGACCAAGGTAGGAAGGATAGTGAAATATGGCTTTATCTTGTACAATTCAAAACAATCATATTCCTTGACTCAGCAATTCTACTTCCAGAATATTCTGCTAACAACTCATGTCCATCATAGAAGGAGTGGTTTCATAGGCATATCCACACCAGGGATTAGTCAGAAAGAATATAGTGGTGGCTTTAAATGTACTAACATGAAAAGATGTCCAAGATGGATGAAAAAAAGCTGCCAAAATAGTCCTTGTGGCATGATTCAATGCCTGTAAACATGTAAAACCAAAACAATATCAAAAGGAAAGGAAAAGGGGCATAAGACAATTTCCCTTTTCTGTGTTTTTAACTTGCTGAAAAAAATATGCTGTGAAGAATTTAAAAGATGTTTTATGCAGATCTCAAACTACCTAGACTTCTCACAAATGATAGGGCTATGACTGACCCCAAAGCACCAATTAAAGGGAGAGTCATGCCTCTCCAAGCCTGAGATGTGAAGTAGGCTGGTAACACTATCTTGATGGGAGATACAGCACTTAGGATATACAACACAGCGATTGTTCCAATGCTGGAGCAGTCAAAGATGGGATGTGGTATGAACAATGGCTGGCATGTGAGATGGAGGATGGGCTACAGATCTAAGAGCTAGCCAGACTAGGGAGACAGAGGCAAACAGCTATGGTTGGCAAGGTTTCCCAGGGGAAGTAAACTACAAAGCCTCTTCCTCATCCTGCCAATCCTCTGCTCTACAGGAACAGAAACCCAGGCACTTAGGAGTGGAAGGCTTCAAGTTTCTGAAAGTTGAGCAGTTTATTTGGAGATAAATCGGTGATGTTTTATAGAGGAAGTAGAGCATGTGTATTCTGGAAAAGAGAGAGACAGAAATCTGTCTTTTCATCTTGGTTAAATTTCTAATTCTCCTTGGTGAGAGGAAAGCAGACTACACATCACGCAGAGCCTAATTACAAAGTTCCCTGGGTCTTAGGTCACTGAAAAACATCCCTTTACCTGGTTAGAGCCAGAAAAAAATCCCTAGGATTGATGGGAAGACAGAATCCAGCTGAAATTTGGCAACCCTGGGTCCCTACTGTCTCCTGGGAATTTTATAGTGTTGGCAGAACAAAAGCTGTTTCCACAAATGGGGAGGAAAGAGATTAGGATCACAAGACAAAATTACTTTCTCCATTAGCATGACCTGTCAGAAGCAGCCTGACACAATATGGTTAATAGTAAGAGAAATAATTAAAACCACTGATACCATTTTTTACTCATACTGTCCTGAGGCCAAAGATTTAACAGTACACTGTGATGCTAGGGACGGGAGGAGATTGCACCTTCATAGCCTTCAGACAGTTCAGAGTGCAACCCCTAGAGATAGCAACTCGGCATATCTGCCAAAAAACAGTACACACAGCTTTGAGCACTCACCCCACTTTTGAGAATATGTCCTATGGCAACATGTGCAGACATGTAAAATAAAATCTGTACAAGGTAAGTTACTGCAGCATTGTTTACAATAGCAAAATTCTGGAAATTACCCAAATACTCATTAATAAAGCACTAGCAAAATAAATTATAGCACACTTACATAACGAAACACTATGCAGCTATATCATAGTTTACTCCTCTTTTATGTACTGGTATAGGGAGTGTCAAAAATAGATTAAGTGAAAAAGTAAACTGCAAAACAGTATGTGTGTGAAAGCAAGAAAAAAGCAGTATGTGCTTAAACCACAGTACAGAAAGCATTAACAGCAGAAGCTTCTTGTGGGGGCATTGGGCAGATGGGATGGGATGAGAGTGAGACACTTCACTTTTTAAATTTTTGAGCCATATAAATATGTCACCTATAAAAATAATATAAAAGGTAAATACTAGAAAGTAAAACAAAACAAATGAGAGAGCATACCTGGGCAACCCCTTCTTCCCAGCCTCTGATCACCTCCTGCTTGCCTAGCATAAACTTAAAGGGCTTGTTTCTGTCCCGGGAGGAATCAAATTTCTTTCCATCTTCAAGCATCCCTGTGAAAAAGGGCAGTTGTAACGTGAGCGACAAGTCATGACACAAGGCAAGTCAGAGACCAGCAGAGCACCCATCAGAGATGCTAGTGCGGAAGAGTCTGGCAGGAATTGCGGTATCTAGGGAGGGTTTCCTGTGGCCTCACTGGGCATCTAAGGAGTTGGGGTAGTCCTACTCCAGACCTGTGAATGCTTCCCTGACTCCAAGCAGTAAGTTGGCTACAAAAAGACCCCGCATACCAAAGGTGGTGGTTGGCAGTCTACCTTGTTCTGGAGATGGGAAGTATAAACTTCTTCCTGCCATGACTCTTCTAGCACCTGGTGGATTTTCTCCCCCACTAAAAATAACTGTGGTCCCTTGAGGTGCACAAAATGTCTAGAAGACACACACAGTGCAAGAAGCAATCTTCCTTCCCAAATTCCCCAGTCACCTTTCACATATAATGTGTTTACATGTTGTTCCTCCATAGTTCAATGCAGGCAAATCCCCCTCCACTATCTGCCACCCTCTCCTCTGTGGTTCACTGATTGTGACCTACACATGTTGCTGCTCTCCAGGCTGTGGGTCAGCACTATGGGATGTGGTAAGAGGAAGCTATAAGGCAAGCTTTCATCCACATTCTAGTGCCAAGTGTCTCATACCAACAGGAAACCTGGGGCATAAAGCTGGGCCCTTGTAGGCTGGTTCCTGAGTTGTCATAATCTTCCTGGGAAAAGTAAAAAACAACCTGGGCTGAAGTAGAGAAATGAAAGACAGAATGTGTGCAGCATTCATCCCACTTATTTTATCCATTGCTGCCCCAGAAAACAACCTGTGCTGATTTTTGCACAGCTAACACTTTGTAACAGAAGTGACATAAGAGAGCAGGAATACTAAGGAGGTTGGAATGGTTGCCCTTAATAGAATTAACTCAGTAAACCCAGCCAACTGCTAGCAACTCTGTTAGCAGTGGCACCACTCTGAGTTACTCTAACTGGGCTAGATGCTTTCCACACATGAAGAACTAATTCAATTCTTTCTCCACAGCACTATCCCCATTTCATGAAGAAACTGAGGCAGACAGAGAGAAGTGAAGTAGCTTACCAAAATAGTAAAACTACATTATAAATCATAAACCCAAATGCCACGCTCTATTATCCCAGTTTCCCAAAAGCTGGACCAGCCATGACGGCACCTTCCAATAAAAGGGGAACTCCAGAGATGCTATGAGAAAAGAGGAACAGACATCTGCAATAGATATCTGCAACTTCCTTTTCAAAAACAACATCAACATTGGTTTCTCAGGAAGCCACTGCCAGCCAAATGTGATAGCTGACACTGAGTTCCTGAAATTCTCTAATTAGGATTCCAGATTGGAGGGTCAGCCAGTGGTTAACATGTAATTAGCACAAAACTGATTTTATTGGAAGACTGAGGGTGAGCACTCACCATAGTTCTAACCGTTAGAAAATCCACAAAAACATTACAATTCTGTGTGTATGAGTTTAGGAAAAAATGAAAATCCTGACAAAATCCCAACCTAAAAAACAATGTTAACACTTGCAAGTAGGATGGGGAGGCAGAGATGAATTGGCAGCATTATCACTATGGACTATGTGAACTTAAAATAAGAAATGGGGTGGGGGTTGGGTAGTGGTGTTTTTAACAGAGCAGGAGTAGAGACGGATGTCGTGGGAGCAGAATGGATGCCCATGCTGCCTGGAGCCTGAAGCTGGAAGCTGAGGACTAAGAGGATACAGGAGGGTGGGGACCTGTACCTTTTCCAAGAAACTGGTGCCCCAAAACTGGTAAGCTGGGGTATGCATTTAGCTCATTCCTTTAGTCACCACCCAATGAAAGAAATGACTGATGGCAGGACTTGAACAGTTCTCCATAAATGAGTTCCTGGGAGAGAACAGGTCTCCAGGCTCCACAATACCCACCAAATACACTGCCTTTAGCCCATTTCAAACTGTACTTTTATACAGAATCCAACCCAACCAAACTCAGAGGTAAGGGTGAAGGTAGGCAATGAACAGCTATGATCCTCCATTCCTTGGCCAGGCAGGGAGCCTCTCCCTCCACTTCCATGAAACTGCTTGTAACAGAAATAAAAAAACCAACTCCAAGGCTCAGTAACCCACCCAAGGTCAGAACCACTGAGTGCAAAACCTGTGAGCCACAAAGGAGACTGAAAACCAGAAAGAGCTTCTCTCTAGTCTGCATTATTTTAAGAAAAACATGCCCATAGGGGCAATGGGGAACCAAGGCTGTGGGACAACCTGGACTCAGCACACTCATCTTCCTTTCAAATTAAACATCACCTTCCCAGGAGCAACAACAGCCTGGCCCAGCAGATGAACTGGAATCAATCTAAGCTTTCCCCCTATGCCAGGGGTGGTGTGGGGTAGGGATTTGGGTCAGTTTGGGCACTTACACCTACTTAGTTTGGGCACCACAGGACCTGCTGTGAAGTCTACTGGCATCTTCCAGGAAAGTCCTACCTCATTAGTAAAAAGAAAAACAAAGACTTGCAAAGAAAGTTCCTGCTCTACCTGGTGAATGCTGTTGTGTGAGGATGTCATGTTTGGAACATGCCAGTCACCCTGTGACCACAAGAAGGCCAGGCATACCACAAGATGGTCATTCCAGTGCTCTGAATCAGCCCCAAACCACTTCCCTCAAAACTCATGTTCTAAAGTGATTAAAAGTGTGCTTTGAAGGTAAGACCCGTGACAGTCAACATATCAGTGACTGTCAGGAGTCAAGGGTAGAGGGAGGGAAGAACAGATGGAGCACAGAGAATTTTTAAGGCAGTGAAAATGTTCTGTATGATGCTATAATGAATACATGCCATCGTATACTTGTCCAAACCCACAGAATGTACACCACCAAGAGTGAACCCTAGAGTAAACTATGGACTTTGGGTGATTATGATGTGTTAATGCAGGTTCGTCAGTTGCAACAAATGTACCATTCTAGTGGGGGATGTTGATAATAGAAGGCTATGCATGTGTGAGACCAGGGGATATATGGAAAATCTCTGTATTTGCCTCTCAAGTTTGCTGATAATCTAAAACTGCTCTTAAAAATAAAGTCTTACCAAAACAAGGAAGTCTGCTTTGCCTTATGTTGGGTCTTCAGTTGCCTCTAGCCAAACACAACTGGCATGAGGTAAACCTTTATTTGACATTTAGTGAGCACACCACAATGCAGTGCTGCCACAGAGGAGTAACAAAGAAATGGAACTCAACAACCAAAACCACCCAGACATCCCTGATCTGCGACAATGGGACCAGTATCTTACGTCAGGACCCAGTACACGTAACCACATTTTGCGTATAAACAAAATAAAATTTACATGTAAGTTACACGGAATATACTTCTCATTTTTAAAAAGAATGCTGCTTGTGACCCACTAAATTTATTTCATGATACACTAATGTTTCATAACCCATAATTTGAAAAATATGGCATATCTATAAAAGAATTATTCTATTTCTTAACAAATTTGAACATGCCCTGACTTGTGCAAGATAGTATTTTGATTGCAATGAAAACCACAGGGTACTGAGACAGACTGCCTAAACTTTCTTTTTACTGCCTTGATCAAATGCAATGCCAAGCAACCTCCAGACACTACATGCATCCGTGTATCAACGTTGCTTTGCCTGAGATGAGATACTTCAATGATCTATCTGACTGGTACCAGGACAGGAGCACAAGGTGGGACACAGCCTGAATCTGCTGCCAAGCCAGTATGGAAATGTGGATGTTCTTCGGTGAAGACTATGGCTCTGTGAGAATGCCTGACCCCAGCTCCCTTGAGCCTATCTTGGACACTGAGGGGCAAGTTTCTCCCTAGTATCTTAAGAAAAAGATAAAAGCCAGGAAGCAGGATTTCTAAGTAAAGGAGCTTTGAGCAGGACCTTTGCCTAGGATCTTTATTTTCCTATGCTATTTTGGATGATCTGTTGTCCCTGGGAAAGGGGCATAAGACTTGCTCTAGAATTTCAGACCACAGTCACCAACTGTCAATCTCATCTACTTTTTTAAGGAGAAATCTTCACAGGGAAGGGTTGGGTGGTGGCAGTGGTGTTGGGATTCCTTAGGCCCAAGAAGAGGATTTCCCATCATGAAGTCCAAAAGCTAAACAATAACCTGCAAAAATGGGCAGGTGGTATGTGATTAAGTGGGTGTCACACTACTGGCACAAGCTATAGGGCAAGGAAAAAAGAGGGCTTCCCAAGCGGGGAGGAACAGGCCACTTATCTATGGCCATAACTTGTCAGGCAGGGGGAGAAGGTGAAAGCAGTGTTTGTTAAGCTAGAACGAGTGTGTATGTAGCATTTTTAGGGGTGGGAATTATGCTGTTCAGTCTGTAATGTCAAAACAGGTAGTGAGGACTTCCATTCCTGGTCAAAATGGATGAGGAAGATCAGATTGTTCTTGAAACAACCCACAACCAGTCCCTTCCTCCCTAAAAAGAGTCCCACAAAAACCTAAAAACCACCTAGACAAAATAGCTAAAAGGATGGTTTGTAAAACACCAGACATCCATAATGAAGAACAATAATTCCTGAGACCTGGGAAACAAGGCCAGGCCTATATCCTTGGGAGTTACAGGGAGAGGGAATGGGAATGGAGCTCAAGGCACCTAGAGTCAGTTCACAGGACAGAGTACTGGCAGGAGAGAGCTATAAAGAGCTCCCCAGAGATCTACAGAGGGTCCTCTTTTGAGTATTCAGCAGAGTCCCTCTCAGTGCATACATTTGAGGGAAGTATTCAAGGCCAGGAAAAGAGCTATCCAAAAGTCTTAGAGGAACAGTACCCAGTACTCACACAGGGCTCCAGTCAAACTGGAGAAACTCATGATTCACGAGGCACTGGGCAGAATACTCAGGAAGATCTTGCCTAAAGCAGGAAATAATAAGCCCTAAACTGAGCTCTGGACCTACCTCACAAAAGCAAGACTCACAAGCATCAAACTGTTTCCAAATAACTTAAATGCTTCTCAGTATAAAACTCAGGAAAATTTATAGGAATAAAAATATCCAGCACACCAAAAGGTAAAATTCGCAATGTCTGGCATCCAAAGATTACTAGGCATACAAAGAGGCAGAAAACAGGACCCACAATGAGGAGACTTATCAATCAATTGAAAGCAACTCAGAACACACAAAATGTTAGAATTAGTAGAGGAGGACCATAAGACTCCAACTTTCGGAAATGAAAACTACAGTGTCTGAGATGAAAATTATATTGGGCTGAAAGGACAAAATATTCAAACATAATACAGTAAAAATTTCACACCATTATCAAACATAAACTCAAAATGGATCCTAGACCTAAATGTTACATGCTGAAACTATCAAACTCCTAAAGGAAAACAAAAGAAAGAAACCTTTGTGACCTTGGGTTAGGCGAAGGTTTCTTAGTATGATGTCAAAAAGCACTATCTATAAAAGAATAAATGGAATTTCATCAAATTAAAACCATTTCTGTACTTTAAAATGCACTGTTAAGAAAATGAAAGACAAGCCATATACTGGGAGAAAACTTTTGCAAAGTACATACCTGATATAGGACTTATGTCCAGAATATAACAAACCATCAAAATTCAACAATTTAAAAAAATCAATAAAAAACCAAAGATTTGAACAGACAAGACACTTCACTGAAAAAGATAGCTGGCAAGTAAGCATATGAAAAGATGCTAAACATTCTGAGTTATTATAATCAAATTAAAACCACTAGGAGATGTGTCTACCACCGATCAGAATGAGTAAAGCTAAAAAGACTGACCACATCAGGCATTATTGAGGATGTGAAGGAACTGGAATTCTCATACACTGCTGGGTGGGAATAGAACATAAAGCTTCAGAAAACAGCTTGATAGTTAAGTCAAACTTAAATCTCCCATATGACCCAGCCATTCTAATCTTGAGTATTTATCCAAGAGAAATAACAGGCTATGTCCATAGAAAGACTTGTACACAAATGTTCAAAGCAGATTTATTTGCAATAGCCAAAAACTATAAACTAACTCAAACATCCACCAACTGGTTAAGTTGGTAAATATGTGTATCTATATAGAGAAAATTATTTAGCAACAAAAAGGAACAAACGATACATGGGATAACACAGATGAATCTCAGAATAATTATGCCAAGTGAAAGAAGGCAGAGACAAAAGAACATACTGTTTGATCCCATTTATATAAAACTTCAGAAAATGCAACAAATCTACACTGACAAAAAAGCACACCGGTAGTTGTTAGAGGAGGGTAAGGAGGGGTGAATTCCCAATGACACATCAAAACTTATGAAACTGTACATTTTTTAAATGTGCAGTTTACTGGATTTTGATCATGTATCATTAACTTTTTTTTTTAAAAGGAAAAGAAAAAAGTAGACAGTGGCATTTACTAAAATCCTATATATGGTTAGCTCCCATATCCACACTGGCAATGAATGGATAGTGCTTCCTCTGTCTGGGGAAGGAACAGGTAAAGCAGGCAGCAAGTCAAGTCTCAGCAGTTGCTTCAATTTTAACTCTGGAAATCACTTGTGCCAGGAGCTGGAGCCCTTGTACAGTGAAACCACCTGCCAAGTTAGTGCCATAATTTCCTAGAGAAAGCATGCCCTGCTGAGAGAAGGCAACTGAGGTTATAGTGCAGATATGGCAGCTGACAGTCTTTAAGCTCTAAAGGCCGCTCAGCATAAAACATCACAAGCATTACCTTCTAATTGAAGAACTGACCAATTTCATTTCTGCCCATACAAAAGCTTATAACTCATGCCTGAGAAACTGCCTGGAACAGCCCCATATTCTTGATTTCAAGTATTTAGTATTGGCTCTCCTGACCGAATGCAGTCCAAGCTCACAGACCTGGCCTGCGTTCTGTGTCCTGGTGGCACCTGCGGTGCTGGTATTCAGGGCACTCTTGGATTTGCTTTACTTGCATGATTTTTAAGAAGGACAAGCATGAGGCCTTCATATTTAGACCTTCTTTCCTATATGGTAAAATGAGTATGAGGGCTAATCCCAGAATGGTAGTCTTTACTTTTAGCACCTTTAGTTACTGATCAGTGAGCAAAATGTGAAAATGTGCTCCAGTTAAAAGCACAAGATGATGAAAGGGACCAAAGCTAAGACTGCATGCAAAGGCTGTTGATGTCACCTCACCTGGATCTCCTCTCAAACTGAAATCCTTGGAAAGGGAGCAAAAGGGTTTAAAAAACAAGACAATGAAGACAGTCTCAAGTCTGTCTTCCTCCTAGCATCCCGTGCTTTCCTGCTGCTTATCAAGGAATCAGCAGAGGGAGACTTGGCCAGCAGCTGCTGGGCAGCAAAGTATCCCCAGACTATGTTCCTGGGGGTTGGCTCAAACCACTAAAGCAGTGGTTAAGACTCAAGACCAGGACCTGGAGATTCGCAAGGACCACTGGGATATTATTTCACTAATAACCCAATAGAAATGGAGTTACTTCCAGGGCACTCTGCTTTGGGAAAGGGCAGTCCCATATACCTTCTAGTGGGAAAGGAAAGAAGACTGAAGAAGGCACCTCTATAGACTTAATGGCTTCACTACCTGTAGTGAAAGCTCATGACTCACAGTGCAGTTTAAAGTTGCTCATGAATCTTTGCAGGAGTGTTTCCTATAGGCAGCATTTTACAGGAACCAAAATATGGGAAATTTTAAGATTAAACAAACAATAACAAAAAAAACCAGAATATCCTAAACCCCAAACCTTCAAAATAAAGTCCTTGCCATTTACACTTTGGAGAGGGAAAAAGGATTTCTACTTTAAACATGCAGGTGAGTTTCTTAAGGACAAAAAAGTGCAATGAGGCCAGGTGCAGACGGGGGCTCATGCCTGTAATCCCAGTGCTCTGGAAGGCTGAGGCAGGAAGATCATTTGAGGCCAGGAGTTTGAGACCAGCATGAGTTTGTGATCAGCCTGGGCAACATAGCAAGACTCACTCCCCACCCCCACCTATCCTGTCTCCATGAAAAATTAAAAAAAAAAAAAAAAAGTCAGATGTGGTACATGCCTGTAGTCCTAGCTATTTGAGTGGCTTAAGGGGGAAGATCACTTGAGCCCAGA